TCTCAGGTGCATTTCTACAGGGTTCCATCTTTTTCTTTCCACCTGTTAAATATGTAGCTACAGCCACTAGGGGGGATGATGATGATGATGATGATATATTTTAGCCCACAGCACTGCCAATATCTAGGTGAGACTCAAATCTACATCCGCTTTCTGTCAAACCCAAATATTGCATCTCTGATTTTCCTGTGCCTTAGGGGTGTGCGTGGGGTGTGTGTGTGCAGGGGAGCCAATTGCCTAGTTTAGGGTAGACAGGATGGAAGTGAAGATGATAGGTAAGGGAAAGCACTAGAGTTGGCCATGAATATGCCTTCTATTGGAGATGTATATCTGATCTTTACAATATCTCTCAGCTGTATCTGGGTCGTATTATACCCATTGCCGCTTCTTGGTTGCTAGATGACAGCTATGGCCTCAACTGTACTGTCTTCTTTTATCTATGTTTGGCCAAGATGCACGGCCATTCCTCTTTGATATGGACCTTGTCTCAATCATCTCTTCCTTTCTAATCCTAAAGCTAGATTATTGCAACGCACTCTCTTTAGTGCTATCACTGAAATGCACCCAAACGTGTCATACGATAAATGATGCAAGGGCTCAGCATTTTAATGAGATGAGCTATTATGAGCACTTATAAGTGCTTGGCACTCTGCCCTATCTACCTCTTCACTTAAGAGGGCAGTTCAAAATATCTGTTAAGATCTATGAATCCCAAAATGAATGTGGGGCCAGTCTGAGAGCTTCTCTCTCTACCTCTGTCCAGTCGTGGTGGCATAATCTGTTCTTGCTGTCAGTTCCTGGGGTGTGGTCTCCAGGGAGAACTCCCCTCCAGGAGAAAGCCATCCCAGCAGCTCTTCCTGTTCAAACTGAGGGATTCCTGCTTTAGAACCTTCAATGCCAGGGTATTCTCAGAGGAAGGCCTAAGTGTCTAGAACCTGCCTGCTCTCGTGACCCATTGGAACCCAAATTTAGAGTGCCATGTAAGGTTGTGTCTATTCACTGCCCCACAAACTGTTTTAATACTTTTTGTCAATCTCTTGCCAAGTATTTCTTACGAGTAACTTTCACTGGTGCACAACTATGTTCTACATCTCAAAACAAGGATGTTAAACCATTCCATTCCTGCCTTAGGTGCAGACCTATTGTGCTGGGAATTACTGGTCATGTTCCACTGATGTGTAACTTACAAATGGGATTTGCAAATTCACACCATGAATTGAAGGGGAGGGGGAGACTGAAGAGGATCTGGAGCTGTTTCTCCCAGTTGCAATGCTCCTTGCCAAAGTCATTCAGTGGCTGCGAGGTGAGGGTGAGAAGGAGAGCAGCTGGTACAGGAAGGTGAAGAATGATGGTCCTGTGTGGTTGGAGAATTCAGGAAGAGTGCTAGCTGTGTATTTGGTCTCACATGGCTGAGGAGAAAGCATGTGCCAGTTTGGTGAGAGGGAGGAGCAATGGGGTCATTTGTCATGGGAGAAACTGGAACATGTGGAGGTCAGGGTACTTGAGATCTTCAGCTACAAGCACATCACAACCAGGTTTGAACATCTCCATCCCTGTTGGATGCATGGCGGCTTCCCTTCCCTTCCCTTCCCTTCCACCCCTCCTGCAGGACAGGGTGTAAGATTATCGGTAGGAAGCCTGCACTGATGCTGCCAGTGCAGCGTTTGTTCTGTGGCTAAACCAAGGACTTCAGTCTCTGACTGTCACTACAGAGCCTTTCCCAAGCATGACATTTTAAAATAGTGAGATCATCGCAGCCTTAGAGCTTTTGTCATGTGTAAATTCTCTAGGTTTAAGCAATCCTGCCCAGATCAGGTATATTTTCTTATTGTTGTATTTCTCTGTAGCATTAGAGCAGGTGCCCCATGTATTTTCTGCCCTTCTCCGACTCCCACCTTCATCAATATGGTAGAGATATTCAGTCATTTTCCAAAATATTAAAATCCAAAATTAACCCACAAGCCATCTGTTAATGTGGGCTCAAAAACGACCAGAGAAGATGAGTCCAGATGGGAAAACTCCATGTTACACAGTTAATAGCTACCACCACCGCTATTTCTAACATCCATGCTAAATACCATTTTAATAATTGTGTAAATTCATTTTCAGTAAGGGTGTAATAACAATGAAGGAGGCTGTAGCAAAATGATTCCCTGAAATGATGCTTTTGAGCACACAATCCACAAATATGTAAATTCCATCAACATTTTAAATTGGTAAAATGTGTGTACTATTCATTTTTACTTTGTTAGACAAATCTTCTGTCACAAACTAGCATATCCCTTTTGCAAAGAGCAAATATTAACACCTCTTTGGGGCATGTGCTATGGCATATGAACTCTATTATAATCCCTAACACTGCAGGTATCTACACTGACAAGTGGTGGCATATAGCAGCTGCCATTTGATAAGATGCAGCAGAAAATGCCCTGAGACCAATAATGTCTACTTGCAGTATATCTCATACCGTGTTATGATACAATATATTACCACTTCTGACAGTTACATCAGCTACAATTCTGCCCTCCCTTTCTAGCAGACAGTGATTGTTTCCTGCATCAGAAATAGAATTTCTTTCAACCTTCCAAGCTTGAGAACTAATGGATCTGCATAGCAGAGCCTTATGAATGAATTTCAACTATGAAGTAGAAACAACAAGCAAACGTATATATTGGTCCACTGATCTAATGCTAGGCAGATGTGGCCAGCATTGGGGACTTATCTGTAGTAACTGTGACTGCTAATCTTTCCTTTTTTATTATGAATTTTTAATTTCTATATTATGAATCTCACAGCAGCAACTAGTTCCAAGAGCTACAATCTGTTCTTTCATGGCAAGGTGCAAGCTGAAATGATGGGAACTATAGTGGAAAAAGAAGCCATCTTGGATTGTCATTACAAGTACAATAGCAGAGAGCATAACACTTTGCTGCTGATGAGGTGAGCTAATCAATACAGGATATATTTTTTTCTTTTTGGGTATTGGAGTGACGATGGTAGGTTCATAGTTAGGATGCTTTACATAACTGATTTTAGCCCCCTTTGGAATCCAGTCACACTGGCCTCAAAATCAGCAGTTTTAGCACTGGACCTGAGGTAAAAATTTTCTACAAAATGTAAAAATAATTGGAGAAAAGGGTTTCCTGAATTATGACACACTGAAATTAGAGCTGCTCACAAGAGTACCAAAACCACCTTTTTCTAAATCCATTTGAAGCAAAAAATATAAAGCAGCAGGGGTTAAAAAGCACCTTCATGTACTAGATTAAGATCTAGTTCCCATCACCAAAATGTTGTAGAATAAAGCATACTTTCAGAAGTTATTAACTAGCAATCATAGTCACAGAGTACATCAAATGACTGCTGTAAACTAGGTTTTCACAGTATGGAGAGGGGGAAAGTTTTTGGCCCTTTTCTTTGCTGAGAGCTTTCAAAAGGTGCTACCCTCTGGCTACTGTTGGGATGCTTGTCAAAACAGTAGCAAGGAGTGGCTGAGCTTCCAAAGGCTTGGGAGGGGTAGGAACTCAACAAGCCTAGGGCTCGTACATGGAGGAGCACTCTCCCTTCCTTGCCTTCTCTACTTGACAAACCACTTGGGGTTAAGCAGAGGGGACTCATGCTGCTGTGAGCTACAGAACGCTTGCCTGCTGCAGAAACCAAAGAAGTGCTAGGGTTACTTCAGTTCCTTCTCCTGCAGCACTGAGCTTCTCCTTTGCTCCTCCCCCTTGCCCTCTTGTCTCTCTGCAGCCCTCTTCCACACACTGCACAGGCTCTGAAGGCTCCCGGGAGACACCCTCCCCCCGCCCCATACATAAACCCTGTAAAAGGGTGCTGCAAGGCATAGATTGTGCAGTCCTAACAAGCATCATAAAGCTCTTCAGAAGGTCAGTGCCAGGCAGCGCCTGCTCCGATGCACACCTCCTCGGGTCCCTAGGAGACAGGTTCTCTCCTAAGGATCTTAAGAGTATTGCACATTTAGTGAGGTCCCCCTTTACTGACCTGAAGAAGGCAATCCCTCTCCAAAACTTCCTTCCCTCCCCAGGCCCATTTTATAGCTATTTAAAAAACTAAGGAATACTCTCTCAAATTGTCATTACTGAGGAGTTCAGGTTGCAGGAGACAGTAAGCTCTTCAAGACAGGGACTGTCTCTTCTGCTGGTACAGCACCTACCACGATGAGGCCCTTTCTCATCTGGCCCCTAAGCCCTGTTGTTCTAAATATGATAAATAATCTTTGGTTTGAGGGCATGTTACTTTTCAAGGACATTAGAGTTAAATAAAAGTTAGAAACTCAGAAAATGCAGTTAAGGTTCCACTTGCAAGCAAGATATCCAGACTACCTTAACTTCTTGTAGTGATGCGGGGGTGGGAGGATCCTGCAAAGAAAGCTGTATTATCAGTATTGGAGGGAACTTTTGTAAAATCTAGCATTATGTGATGGATGCAGTTCTCTGTAAACTTACTATATGGCAGCCATGTTTTGACATCCAGTATCAAATATGTCAGTTTCTGCAGCTGTGATCAGGAATGTTCCTAAATTATCTGTACGTTCTGGAAAATCGCTAGGTAAATGTGTGCAACAATCCCTGTGAAATACTCACTAATACCCATATTACACTGTTTTAACAACCCAATGTACACCTATAATACAGTCTACAATTAGGCATTATTGATTTTGATGGAGTTACATGAGAGTGAATGTGATTTAACTGAATGAAGAATCAGTCCCAGTTTCTCCTTCACCTTTGCATGGAGCTCTCATTCATGTCCATAAACTTGACACTTACCTAAAGCAAAGGAGTCTGTGCAATTTTAACTCTATTTCCTTTCTTCTTATTTTGTCTATATCTATAAAGCAGATGTTAAGAACCTGATCAAAACTGTGAGGAGCACAAAGTACTCGGTAGAACCAGGTGTAGTGGGCCTTAATTCTGTTTAAAGGGAATGGCTAACATTTCATTTTTTCACATTTTATTTCAATCTTCTCTACAAGAACTTACCTTGTTACACTGGTGTCATTGATGGTTCTTGCCAGTCACTGCTCTGTCTGTGGTAGTCAGCTCTGGGTTATTAGGAAGAGTGGCTCCTTCAGAAAGTCCTTGGTAGTATTCTTCTGTGTAACTGCATGAGGTTGTGCTGCACTGCTTAGATTCATTACTTTGCAACGGTTTGTCCAGTGAACTGTTTGAGCAGGCTTGTGAAAAATCATTGGGTACAGACGAGCAAACGGAGTTGAAGAGAGGTAAAAACGTTGGCCTACTAAGGGGTGTCATGCTGTTAGAGTCACTTGGTCTTGGTTCAAATCTAAAGTCTTTTATGTAAGAGAGGGCTTGATTATTTAGCTGGGCGTATTCAAAATTTATCTTACTCCTGGTGACCTGACTCATATGATCTAGGATATTTGTTCTGTGTTTCTGATCTTTAGAGCAAATTAATTCCTTATTTTGTTTCAACTGATATGGATTACTGGCTTTGAGGCTTGTCTCATAATTATCTTGGTTTGTGTGAGGGAGACCAGGGTATTCTAAACTCTGGGTGATACAGTTGCATTCATTTTGCAACAATATTTTGTTTTTGTATTGAGACATCTTACAAATTATGTTGTTCATTTCATTCCCGATGCATTTGTCTTCCAGATGTTTGTTTTCATAGCTGATTTTTAAGGATGCAACTTGAGTGACACAACGTTCCAGAAGCTGCACTATAGTAGTGTCGCTTTCCCTTTGTGTGGGGCTGATGTAGCTTTGAAAATGTCTCAGAGTAAGAGGCTGCATTGGCTTGTCGCAGGAAATAGACAAGGAATGATATATTGTTTTATTGCCATCTGCTGTCTCTAGGGAATCCATTGGGGAAGTTGCTGCAGTCATATAAGAATAACAGGATTCTACTTCCTGGCTATCATTTAACAAAGGATTTTGAGAGCTCTGGCAAGCAGGCTCCATGTTCAGGTCGCCTGTTAATGGGGCTTTATCTCTGGGTCCCTTGCATTCTCCTAAAACTGGCATCTTCTCTTTTTCAGACAAACAGGTCCCTAAAGTGTCTCCAATAGCTTGTGATCTTGGCACAGTACCTGATGTGCTGTTGGCTTCCTGAAGCCCAGACACAGTACATGAGTCCTCAGGGCAGTTTCCTTCGCTTACCTGAGAATGCCCATTAGCTGTGTGAGGCCAAGAAACCTCCCTTTGGTCTTTTTCAGCCACACCCCCTAAACACGTCTGGGCCATGTCATTGTCATCAGCCAAAGAAGACTTTGGGTTAGAAATATCAATTTCTCCCTTGGTTTGTTTTTCCTCCTCAGCTGCTATGTGCTCACTCTGGCATGGACTGGGACTACAGGAGACCAATGGATCGCCACTTTTTTCCAGCTGTAATTCAGGACTCCTAATCGGGTCTGTGGGGGAAACCAACCCTGGGTTTTTTCGTAGCCAGTTTATTATCCCCATGGTCAGTGAAAGTTCAGTATCACAGAGCTTTAACAAGCATTCCTTACCTTTCCATGTGCTGTGAAGAAACCCCTGGCTAATGATGTCAACAGCTGGCTGTGAAGCCATATTCTCCTCCGCTCCCACATGAAAGCTGTAAATTGACAAAGGGATTTCAATGGCCTGTTCTGAAATGCTTTCTGACATACACAGCTCATCGTCTAGGACTGGGCTTATTTTGGCTTCATTAGGATCATAGAATAGTTCATAAAGGGCATCGCCACTGTAACTGTCTCTTGGAAATCTACCTGGAACCCCAGGAGTCTGAGCCTCCTTCATTTCATCATCCTGCCCAGGAGAGAATGAATCATAATATCCTTCATCGCTGGTGGAGGTGGATTCTTGGTGGTCACTTTTTGGTGTCCCTGTATCTACAGAGCTTTCTTTGGAACTGTCAGGATCTTTATCAGGTGACACTAGCAGGTCAGTCATTGAAGCAGCAGCTTCACGTTTAGTCTTTCCCAAGTCAGGACTGGGTACTTTCAACAACCTCCTATCAAATAATGTGCTCTGATGTAATCGCACCGACTTGTTGATGTTGTCCCAAAATTTCGCAAAGTCAGCTGCTTCGTTTTGGGCAGGGGATGCCAGCTGTTCCACCCCCCCTTGAAAAGACCCCAGGGCAGGGCTCTCTTTGTGCTTGGATCGCCTCACCAACACTTCTTTGCTGCTCTCCAGCTCCAAATGAGCAGAGCTCTCATCTGCAAAGATTTCCCCACATCCAGTGAGAGAGTCAAAGCTCTTCAGAGAAGCGACATCTTCACACAGAGCATTGCTGTAGTCATAGGAGGAGTCAGACTGCATTTCGCTGTCGGAAAGGTCTTGTGCCAAGCAGTCAGCTGCAAAGGTTTCTCTGGGTTTGAAAAGATACTTCCCAAGCCTGCCTGACAGCTCGCTCTTCCACGCTGGAGAAGGCAGCCTCTTGCCCTTCTCAACTAGCAGCGTTAGGCTCTCTGGTTTATTTTTTTTCATGTGAAATATATCCCTGAGCCCTTTTTTAGACCTCTTAAGGGAAATCCTCTTCCTAGGAATGCTTTTTGCTACAGCTGGTACAAAAGGCATCTGTGGCACAAAGTTTCTATAATCTATCATCTGCTGACTGCTGCAAGTGGACTGGCTTGGGCTGACCACGGACTCTTTCTTACCACTGGAATTCAGGGTGCTCCCCACCCCAGAAAAGCTGATGCTATTGACAAGTCGCCCTTTACTTCTTCCTGGAGCTGAAGAGCCCACCTTGTAAGCTTTATCACTGTGGCTGCATTGTTCTGTTTTGTCTACCCCTATCACACAGTCATGGGTTTTACTCTTTCTTACCAGTTTGTAGGAAGACCCAGATGGCGCTAAGATGTTTTCACTAGCCCCGCTCCTTGTTGTTGTATTAGAAAATCGGTCATTTTTCTGTGTGGCCAAACTTGCTGGTTGGACCACTTCGCTTTTGCTCCCCTCAACTGCTACCCTTTTGTCTTTTTCTAGATCATTCTTGTCTGTAGGAATCACATCCACCAGTGGTGCTTTCTCAGAAGTCAGCTGCAAACTTGATTTTATGAAGGTCTTTCCTCTCCTTAGCTCCATACTGCTTCATCACATTTGTTTCTGTAGAGGAAACAGCAGAACAAAATCTTAGAATCTGGCTAGCAGTGTGCTTTCAGCTAACAAAGGACCCATATGGATTTGGGGTATGTTTCCCAAACAACTAGAACCCCATTAGAATTTGTATATTTTGAAGAAAATCTAGAGAAATGGACGGGAGGAAATCAGCAATATTAGAACTGATTTTATTTCTTGCGAGAGACTTCAGTCAATAACTCATGGTGTTGTTTGAAAAAGAGTTCAAGTGAAACACAGGGAGTGTTGCTTGTAAGGTTTGAAAGGTCTGAAAGAATCAGCGGGGAGAACAGGTCACTCTAGGTTGGTGGCTAGTTGGCCTGATTGCCTTTGAAACTGTCAAGCTGCTGAGCTTTCAGATACAGGATCACTGGAGAACAATGAGGATCAGTGGATACCCAAGGAACTTTTATGCCAAAGGCCTGCTTTGGGGAGGTGATTGTTCATTAACTTATGCCTTTGATTAGGTCAAGGGATGAGGAAGATCCCAAGTGGGGAAAGCTCTGGGGATGTAAAATATAACACAAGAGATTTTCATTTTACATGGAAAATCTCTGCAAATCCCTGCCTGTACATCGTGAACTGGTCCTTTGCTTGGAATGCATGCTGAAACTGAATTACTGTTCTTGCTTCTGCTGAAGTGTGTGAAAGGGACATGCTCACCACTAGCACCACCTACTGGTTGGGCGGGAGTATGGCAGGTTGTTTTCCTATCGGGAGTCCCCTTTTATTACCACGGCTCTGCGCTGCGGTGGTCTGTCCTTCCAGTGACGCTGCCCTCCAGCCAGGTCATATTCGCAAGTCTGTGCCTTTTGGGATATGTATAAAGAGTCCAGCAGTGGGAGGAGGGGTCTTTTTGCAATTAAGCAGGAGGCCTCAGGACTCCCCTCCATCTTGGGTTGAGATCTCACAACCCAGATCCTTTTATCATCAGAGTAGGCTTGGACAGGTCACTACAGTCAGGCCTCAGGCAGCAAGAGCTCCTAGGTTGCTCCTTCTCAGGAGCCCAGCACGTAGGTCAGCTCATCTGCCTGCTTTTGAGCTGCTCTGCTCGCCTTTTAAAGCTCCTTCTCCAGCCTGTGCAGGCATAGCAGGTGCAGTGGGGTGCGGCAACTTGGGTGCAGAGCAGCTCTCTAACCCCTGCTTTTCCAATGGGGGATTTGTACACCCGATCACAGAATGCAATCTATAATTTTTTGTAGTGCTACTTTTATTATAAAAAATCAAAAGTAGCTTTTATAAAAGGCACCACTAAATATCACTGGACAGTTGGATTGGCTTGACAGACATTTTTAAGTGTACAATGACCAACTATAGTACATAGATGCATTGGCAAAACATATGCACATTGTACATTGGTTACTTTTAAATGCACATGCATTGCATAGTTCATTACAAACTTGGGGTCTACACCTGTATGCTACAGTGTTCAGTACAGTTGATGTTTTCATGCAGTAGATAAACACTTAACTGAAATACTCATAAAAATATTATGCCATAGTCAACTCTCCTGGAATTATTTCATAAATAGACAGCACTTGTTTCTCCTCCTCCCTACGCCCGTGTAAATCAGGAGTAAAGCAATGGGATTATAGCTGCATAATTCAGAACAGAATCAAACTCCTCATGCAAGCTCTCATGCAAACGAAATTCTTATTGGACAAAAAGAGTGGCCCAGATTTTTATTCAAAGGCCTGTTCTTTTAAAAAAAAAATCCCTTCAGATCTGCACTGAATGAAACCTCCATTTAGAATTAAATTCTCTAGTTCTGCATCATTTACATATACACTAAAACTAAAATCATCTGGGCCCTGAAAGTCAGCAATAATTGACAATGAATTACTGCACATTAAAAGACGCATTAGCAGCACAGTGTTGCATCCAACACTCGTTGATAAACCATGCACAGCTACACTAGCAGAATAAATAACTGCCAGTGTTTCAAAGGAGATGTATAAACATGGAACCAGCCTCGGATCCAGCTCTTTTGCACCCAGTACAAGTCAGGAAGGGTGGTTTTTAAACCAGCTTTTTATGCATCCTCCCACCAATCGTGAGCTTGGCACAATCTGAAGACATAACTTGGAGCAGTCTTAGGCTCCTCTAAATTGTAGCAACTGCCCATGGCCTCTAAGAGGCGGTTCTGTCAGCTAAATCTGACCATCCTCCCACAATGGGCAGGTAGGTGTGGAGGAGCACATGGCTCGGACAGAGACATACCTTAGGGGAGGATCTATTCTCTATGTCCTAGTAAGGAGGAGAGGATGGAAGGTGATGAAATAAAGGTAAGATCTGATGAGAAACAGTCAAATGAAAAAAAGTCCCATTCAATTACATCCCGTAATGGCAGAGGGCTAAAAAGTGACAAGTTTAAGTCTAAATATAATAAGATGGGTAAACTTGAGTGCCTCCTATTGAATGAGAATATTGATGTAAGAAGCATCACAGAAACTTGGTGGAATGAGGATAATCAATGGGACACAGTAATTGCAAGGTACAAAATATATCGGAAGGACAGAACAGGTCGTGGAGTGGCACTATATATGTGAAAGAAAGCGTAGAGTCAAATGAAGTAAAAATCTTAAATGAATCAAACTGTTCCATAGAATCTCTATGGATAGTAATTCCATGCTTGAATAATAAGAATGTAGCAGTAGGGATGTACTACCGACCACCTGACCAGGACGGTGATAGCGATTGTGATATGCTCAGGGAGATTAGAGAGGTTATTAAAATAAAAGACACAATAATAATGGGGGATTTCAACTATCCCCATATTGACTGGGTACGTGTCACCTCAGGATGGGATGCAGAGATAAAGTTTCTTGACACCTTAAATGACTGCTTCTTGGAGCAGCCAGTCCTGGAACCTACAAGGGGGAAGGGAATCTTCAGGTAGCCAGATCCATGGCTATCCAGTGGCATAAAGCAATTTTTAGTGGAGGCTCTGGTATGGCCTATAATCAGCACATTTATAACACAGGGGAAGGCAGGAAATAGTGGCAAACTTTAGGGTGATGTGTGACTGTATATATGCACAGTCTGTAGAATACGGCATACATGATGATGTGGTGATAGATAAAGGTTTTATCAGCATGATTTTGATGTAGCCATGTTCCTCATAGATGGAAATGTGAGTTCTTCAGATCTGTGATGAATGCTAATAAATACTTTTCTACCTCACTACACCATTGCATATTCGTACATGTCACTGATGCTACAGAAAAGTTACTTTATAAATGTTTTAGGAAAAGGTTATTGGGATGGTTTTGCATCCTGTCCTTAATTCTTTATTAACGGAATCCCAGATCCTTTATTTTGCCTGGGATTGATGACAAGCTAAGCAACCTGGGTCATTCTGCTTGTCATTTGGGTCATTTGGCATAATACTAGCATGCTTCCAGTCTTCTGGAATCGCCCTGGTACTCCAAGATTTATTAAAAATTGCCATCAGTGGGCCATTTATCTCCTTAGCGAACTCTTTTAGGACTCTTGGATACAAGTTATCTGGCCCTGGTAATTTAAAAACATTTCTCCCTCATAGATGTTGTCTAACATCCTCCTTGGACTGACTAACAGACTGGAAAGTACTTCATCATCCTTATATGATACAAATCATTCTGCTTCTTTCCAAATACAGAGTAGCAATACGTATTGAATACTTATGTCTTTTATGCATCATTATTAATTCTACCATTTCAATCTAGTAATGACCATACCATTTTTTTCCTTTTCCTGCCTGTGGGGCTACGCGTCAATACCATGGAAACTGTACCATGGAAATGAGGTTAAAAGATTAAAGAAATTATAAGGTAACGTTACAGTATATGCTTCCAGTGGTTATGTAATCCTAATCAAACTTCTGTAAAATGATTCTAGACTTTTGTAAAATTGTACTTTGTCTGTGGGTTGTCCTGACCTGTGCATTCAGCTACAGCATTGCCTGTCTCCAGTCCTTTCCCATTATTTTTACCCTTGCATTTAATTTCCACTTTTTTATCTTGTACTCCTACTAGAATAAAAAAATATATCTGGGGACTGATTTCCATCTTTGTAAAGGAAATATGTTTTTGCAATTAAAATTCACTCAAAATGACAGGAATCTTTGGAACTGGCTGCCAGCCCACTAAGAATTAATCCATTATGGTTTCAACAAGACTCCGTGTGTACTTTTCCTTCAAACTGCCCCATCTCCTTTTTTCTGGCATCAGTGGATTACTTGTGAAATTCATTTAAGTAAATCTTTGCTGGACTACGGTTAAATTGTTATCTACCACTGTCTCAGACGCAGACCTTTCTGCAGCTAAAGAAATGTTATGCTACTGTTGTGGGGAAACTGCCTTTCCCATCTATGATATTGCTAGAGTGACGCATACTTACTGGTCTTGACCACACCACTTAGTCTTAAGGTTTCACAGGCTTCTAAACAAGCAATTAAATCCAAAGGTTGGGCTGGCAAGTATAATACAAATAAAGTCTTGGAGTAAACAGCATTCTGGATTTGGAGAATATTGTTTTTAAAATTCAAAGACCCTCTATCATCAAACTTATAAGAACCATCTATTATGCACTAGTTCATAATACTAGTGTTGGATCTCTTATGATTTAGGCAGAATGGATATTAATGGTTTACTTTTTGAGAACTCGCAAAAGAGAGATGCTAGAAGTGTGAGGACGACCAGTGTTCCCATGGTTTGGGAGTAATCCCAGCACATTGCCTTTCTGTAGAGATGTTAGAAGAATTGCTTTAACTTTAAGAATGGGTGTCAATTACTTTTAGTTGCTCTCCTATTGGAAAATATTTCTGCCTGCATTTTCTACAGAAATGAAAAATTATTCCTGAGGGCCATAAAATTTTGGCAAAAATATCAATATTCTTGGATGCAACCCTGGGGAAATCAACCCATTTGGAGAATAAGTGTTGACACCAGTGAGGTTGCATGGCTATCATTAATAGCAGAAACTGGCTTAGGAACTAGAAATTTAGATCAAAGCTTGACTCAATGTTGCTTCTCCTAGGCAAGGAAAAAGGAGCATTAGCCTTATGTGGCATTATGATGATATTGACATGAACTGTAACCATATAGATCACTGTTGCAACCACTGTTATATATTTACAGCAAATATTGTACAAAGGTTGTCATGTGAGATGTCTATGAAGAAGTTATGATTTGCTGGTTATAATTATGCTATCTGTATGTGTGTGTACCATTTTTTGTAGTTGAAGTTATGAATATTGGCTATGTACTTGTATCTCAATGTGTTTGATTCTAAATAGCATTAGTGAAGCATTTGGTCAGATTCTTGAGAAAGGAATTTGCAAATTGAGTGCCCAATCAAGAAACACTTAACTGACAATGGACCTGGGGAGACTCCAATCCACATAAGAAGTCTTCCTGGGAACATTCAAGATAGCATGTGAGCAATGGCTGCTGCCTGCAAACTGAGTCATGCATGGACATGTGACTTGCCCATGTGACTCCAAATTCCATCTTGCTGCTGGGATTTTCCACAGCAAGAACAAAGAGGTGTCCTTCCACAGGGCAAAGAATATAAAAAGCCCTGGAAACGCCTCCATTTTCTCTTCAATCCTGCTTCTTCTGGAGGAACCTTGCTACAAACTGAAGCTCTAAACAAAGGATTGAATGACCCATCCCAGCTGTGGATGTACTCCAGAGACTTCATTTGAACCTGCAGTTTATTCCATCACTGCTACAAGCATGAACCAATAACTTTGCCATTACTGTAGGCAATTGATTCCATTTAACCAATTTTAACTCTCATTTATATTTCTCTTTCTATAAATAAACTTTTAGATTTTAGATTCTAAAGGATTGGCAACAGCGTGATTTGTGGGTAAGATCTGACTTGTATATTGACCTGGGTCTGGGGCTTGGTCCTTTGGGATTGAGAGAACCTTTTTCCTTTTACTGGGGTATTGGTTTTCATAACCATTCGTCCCTATAATGAGTGGCACTGGTGGTGATACTGGGAAACTGGAGTGTCTAAGGGAATTGCTTGTATGACTTATGGTTAGCCAGTGGGGTGGGGTGCCTTATTGGTAAAGGAAATCCAGCCTTGGGCTGTAACTGCCCTGCTCTAAGCAATTTGTCCTGAATAGATACCCTCAGTTGTGTCCCACCAGAGGCAGCATCGTTACAGGCATTTGTTCCAAAATCTTATTAGCTGTCTAGTTGGAGACTCTGGTCATATGTATACTTGTGATGGGTTTTCACTGGAGACTACTAATGAGCAAAGTTAGGGAGAGTTTTTAGGTATTTTATGAGAATATTTTATCTTTGTTATATTTAATGTAATAGTTTATTCTTAAACAGTAACACCATGAGAAGAAGGTGCCTTACCCAACCACATACTATATACTGTCTAAACTTGCCCCTTCCCTAGGGTTTGATCTTATTAATTAAATCCATTGACAAACTCTTATGCACAATATTCTTTCTCATTACTGATATTTTTAAAACTGAGTAAAATCCAGCATGCATGTTTTTAGAGTAAAATGTTTGAGGTGTCTAAGTCCCATTTTCAAAAGTGACTTTGACGCTCAGACATGTAAGTCCACTGTGCTGAAGTCACTTTTGAAAATGGGACTTGGATGCTTTTGAAAATGTACTCCTTGCTCCAAAATTAAAACTGTGGTATGATGAAATTTTTGGACAAGAATATAATGGAAAGTGTACTTACTTTAAAAAAAACCCAAAATAATTTTTTAAACAGATAACACTCTGAAGTGAAACTTATTCTCAAATTTTTAATGAAGAATTTGAAGAATAGGAAATGACAAAGAACTGAATGCTTCGGGAAGCCTACTAGAGACTTTGCCATGCTGGCTAATTAACTTAGGGATATGCTGAGCTACTATGATGATGGGTGCCAATCCAAAACCCTAAAACAGATTAACAAAGAAGTATAAGGGGCTTAGTGCCCATGATTCCTATTAAAATCAATGGGTATTATAAATGCTTAGTACTTGTTCTAGATCAATTAACAGCATAAAGCAGAGTATATAATCTTACTGAAGGGGTTCTGTTTGGGAGAATAAAATTTAGTTACTTTCACAAACACTTAACTCCCTTTACTAAAGGTCACAAAATAAAGCCAATGGAGAATTTTCCTACTATTAATAAGAACATGCAGTTCTTTTTCACTATTTGGCTGTTTTTAATTATAATTCAATAAAGAAGTTCCCTGCTGAACCGTGATGAGATTCTGTCTGCAGTTACTGTAATATGCAATTCTGTTTCTTAAAGGCAGACAGACATAACGTTCCCTCATAGTGTAAACCAAAGAAGATTTTAAAGCATTGCTCATCTTCTCACTTCTTAAATAGATTACTCTGCCAGTATCTTATTCTATTTCTCCTTTTTAAAAATGGCACTAACAATTCATGTTACAGAGGGAGATTTGTTTTTAAATAAACCTCTGTGACATGCAGACCTATGCTGGGATCATACCACCTGCTTGGAGTATTCTTGTCATCATTATTAGTGGTTACATGTTATCATTTCTCTTTATCACCTGCCTCTCTTGGGTAACCCAGAATACCTAATAATTTGCATATACATTTAGGTCAGGCTCTGCTTTTTCTTACTAAAAGACCTAAAGAAACACACCATCATGTGTACACAATAAAATCTTACACCTCACATCAGAATACTATAAGGATCTGTAATTAAATGTTTAATCTTATTAGCACTGTGCTACAGGAAAGTCTGAACCTTAAATTAATCACTGCCAACTGCTCCAAAAAGCTGAGATGTCAGTAGTAAAATTAAAGCCCTTGGTATGCAGAGCTCTGCAGTTTTGGGTGTTTAAACGTGCTGGGTACATATAAAAGATCAAAAAGGGTGAAGAAAAACAAGCATTCTTTTTCCCCAGTTCATTGTACAGGGCATGTAAGCTGTAGAATCTCTACATGTTCAGCACAATGGCTAGCTCCTAGCCACCAGTTTCATTCCCTTGATTAGTCATCTGAACAGTTTCAGTAATTACTAGCACTTGCAGCTCTATGCCAAGGGAAAACAGGGAGAGAACTACACTGAGGAATGTGGGGGGGAGAGGTGAATTCATTACAAAAGGAGGAAACCTTCATGGCAAAACCTTTCCATTACCCTGCACAGCTCAGTTTTTCTTCTGCACCTGAAGCTGAGAGAAAGGTACTGGCTCGAAACATTTTTCCTTACACCTTGTGGGAGAGTAGCATAAACTCCAGCACAGGCTACTGGTTAAACAGCTCACTATTTCCAGGGAGAAAACAGCTGCACAGAAATCTCTGCTGTGTACCTGAAAGGGAAACTGTGCATTTATTGCTTGCTGTGTCCAGCAGCCAGTTGTATCAGACAGCGAAGAGTTAACCTTGCTAGCCCTTGTCACTTTCAGTTATTTATTGCTTTAAAAGAGATTGAATGTGCACATCAAAAATATATAAGAAAAGAAATAAAGGAAAATCAGTGCTCCATGCTAGTGTCAAAACAAGCAATCATCCCAAAATAATAATCTGTCCCTTGGAGTCTCGTGGTAGGTGTCAGAGCAAAAGGAATTCTATTGCACGAACAGCTAACAATAAGGCAGATGACAAAAATCTTACTCACCATGTTTTACCATTCAGCAGTAATCCTCTCTACTACAGTCTTGTTGCTGAGGCTGAGAATCTTTATCCAGAGGCTCCTGTGATGCTTTTCAGACTCTGAGGGGCTGTACTACTGCTGCTCTCCACTGGTATTCTCCACCTCCTATCTTTTCCTCCTCCTCCTCCTCCTTCCCCTTCCCTCCTCCTCCCACCCCCCAATCCTTCCAGCTTGTAGCTTGCTGTACCCTACATAGATTCTAGGTTTCCCCATGTAGCTTGATTTAGGAAAGATGTTTGTTTCAGCCATCTGTTTGGTAGCAAGTAAATGCCTAACTTGCTCAGGGGCAAAAATTGAAGGTAAACTAGAGAGCTCACAGCCAACATCCTGGTTATACTACACACACAACAGGTTTGGAATAATTCAGGAGCACATTTATTGTAACTGTATTTCTCCCACCAATTTTCATAGCTGACTGGAATACAAAAAGACTGGTCTGAACAGATACTTCTAGGTTATTGGAATGCATCACTGTTCAACATGTATCATCCTTTGAAGAAATGATTTAAAGGGGACTGTTATGGCAAGAGACTGTGCCTTCACATATACTACTTCTGATATTAAAGAAGGAATCTCACCCTGGAGCAAACTGGGGACAGGAGGAGAGGGAATATTTATACCAAAAAATGTAATTGGCTAGTATTTGTCTTAGGTGGGGTTTTTTTAAGTCACTGAACATGTTTTGTTTTTTAACCAGCTTTCCTTAGTAAATCAGTCCAGTTTTTGCTTGATTTTTGCAGTAAAGGCAAAATTGGGGGTTATATCAGGGGTGCTGGAATAATGAGTATAGTGGGGGTGCTGAGAGCCATTAACCCAAACTGTAAACCCTGCAAATAATTGAAACCACTTCAAGTCAGGGGGTGCTGCAGTACCCCTTGTACCTCTAGTTCCAGCACCTACGTGTCGTATCACAGTCTGTTATGGAAATGAATTTAATATCAAAATATCGGGGTTTAAATTCCATGTCAGGGTTGAGCTAGATCCTCTTCCTCTCTTCGCTTTCCCCTGTTCCCCCCACCCCAAAAAAAATACTCTAGCCATGGAGGGGTTGAAAATTGGGCAGAATCCCATATTTTCAAAGGGAAATTAATTTTGCCACCTTGCTCCCCTGTACCTCTCCTCCTGGCCTTCACCTTTCCTGTCTCCTCTCCCCTTGATTGTAGCAGCTCCCGGGTTTGGGGCCTGAGAGGGATTCTCATGAGGATTCTCCTAAAATCAGCACACTGTTTATACATAACGGTCTAAAACACTCCGGTAACACTAGTGTGAGCTGTAGCTTGGGACTGTACTTTATATGTGGGTGTGACAGTTCTCGGTGTACCTTGTTACCACTGCCTCTAGGGAGAGGTACCTTGCCCATGATGGCTGGGGGTTAGCTCCCTAACACCACCAGCCTATTAGCCACTCAAGTGCCCTCCTCTGGGCTTTGCCAGCCCTGTCTTCACCCTACAGGCTATCAAGAGGTGTGTCCCAATCCCCAAGTCCCTCTGAATCATTCCCCTGTGATATCCAGCCCCTGACACTGGCTACTCACAGGAATCCCAGATCCTCTGCCCCCAAAGGAGCAGTGTGCCCCTGTTTTACCTTAAACCCCATAGCATTTGTAATAAAGCAAGAGAAGGTTTATTTAAGAAAGAACAAGGATTCAACTAAAGCCAAGAGAGAGCAGGAGAAACAAATGGTTACAATGCAAAACAAAATCCTAAAGCACAATGTAGGGCCTACACTTAATAGCTACCTTTCCTATCTAATACAGTAGGTTTTCCTTCCAAAATTCAGTCTGTTGCACAGTTAGATGGCTTCACAGGAACCAGGATCCAAACTTCCATGAAAAACACTCCCACTCTGCAAGCTGTTTCTCCAGTGAATGGATACAGTGTCTGTCCCCATCCTGTGTCAGACCGAAACAGTCGTTTGTCTTTACTCAGACAGGGTGCTCTCCTGTCTTTTGTAATGTTCCTTTTTTTTCCCCAGGTGCTTTCAATCATTTGCAATTGTCTCTGATGGTTTTCCAGTGCAAGTCTTGGGATGGAGCAAGACTGGACAACTGAGCCTTGCTTTACATTGCCTGCTAAATGGAAGGGTGACCACCCACTCCTGTTTGAATGGACCATCACCACGATACATTATCCCCTGGTGATTAGCTTTTACTCCAAGTCCAAAAAAAAAAACTTTTAATATACAGTAAAAGCTGTGTTATCTGGCACTTTACCAACGGGAATGCTCCATAAACCAGCATTTCTGATCTAATTGAAAGTCTGGTTTATAGTCCAGTTGGTGTGGGGCTGGAGTTGGGGCATGGGAGAGGGTGAGGGGTGTGGGCTCTGGGAGGGAGTTTGGGTGTGGGAGGGGGCTCAGAGCAGGGGGTTGGGGCGTGGGAGGTGTTTCAGGGTGCTGGATCCAGGTGGTGCTCACCTGGGGCGACTCCCCGCAAGCAGTGACATGTCCCTGCTACTCCTAGGCAGAGGCATGGCTAGGCAGCTCTGCGTGCTGCCCCCTCCTGCGCCCCAGCCCTGAGCCCCCTCCCGCACCCAAACTCCCTCCCTCTTAGTAAACCAGAATTTTTAACTTACCAGCACCCTCATTCTCCCAACATGCTGGATAACAGAGCTTTTATGATAGACAAGGTGGGTGAGGTAATATATTTTATTGGACCAACTTCTGTTGGTGAGAGAGACAAGCTTTCAAGCCACACAAAGTTCTTCTTTGGGTCTGGGAAAGGTACTGGGAGTGTCACAGCTAAATACAAGATTGAACTGATAGTTTAGCATAAGTAGTTAGCACATATTCCAAGGAACCATTCAAAATCAATGCTAACTACTTATGCCAAACTATCTGTTCGATCCTGTATTTAGCTGTGACACTCTCAGTACCTTTCCCAGACCTGAAAAAGAGCTCTGTGTAGCTTGAAAGTGTCTCTCTCAGCAAAAGAAGATGGTCAAATAAAAGATTTTACGTCACCCACCTTATCTCTCTGTCTTGGGACTGACACAGCTTCAATAAAACTTCATACTTTCAGTATGGTAACATTACTCCTTAAATATTACCCATTCATACATCTCATTGACATTGGCACTGACTCTGTGCCCTGGCGCACCCATGGAAAAAAATTAGTGGGAGCTTAGCACCGACTGGCAGCCAGCTCCTCCCTCCTGCCCAGTGCCTCCCATCTGCCGGCGGCCCTGCCGATCAACTCCTCCCCACCCCGCTGATCAACTCCTCCCCATCCCTCCCATCGCCTCCCACCCACCATGATCAGCAGCATGTAGGAGGCACTGGGAGGGAGGAGGAGCAGGGATGGGGTGGAAATAGGCAGGGCGGGGCTGAGGTAGGGTGGGAAAAGGTGGGACCTTGGAAGGGATGGAGTGTGGGTCCAGAGCGGGGCTGGGAAGGGGTGGGGTAGGGGTGGAGGTTTGGGGGAAGGGGTGGAGTGTGGGTGGTGCTGGGGCGGGGGAGGGGGTGTCAAGCACACCCAGGTAGAGAGGAATTCAGCACCTATGCACAGTTATATTGTCTTGATAAGGCATGAGATTTCTGTAGATACCTTGCATGTTACCCCATATGGATAAATACCCTACAAGACCGTGCCTCAGACTTGCACTGATTCCAAAGCCCTGGCTATGATTTCCCAGAAGGATCAGCTAGCAGGAGCTGGCCTGTGAATGAGCAAACTGTGTTTGAACACTAATAGCTCTGGAAATTGGGTTAAGAGCAATTGTGAAGAAAGCCATGTGAGATAGGAATGGATTCACATGGTCTGATATTTTTGACTTAGCATGAAATATTAATATGTATTGAGTTCTGATTTCAGAAGGCTTGCTACACAGATGATCTTGGCTTTGAGAAACCCTCACTTAGTGTGTTCTAATGAGGGATGAGAAAACGTTAAAGGGTTTAAGTCCTTTTTCTAAACGAAGTTAGCGCATGTTAAAATGCTGGCAGATATTGCAGATCAATCAGAGGTCACATGCTTCATGTGTGCTGATTCACTGCTGAAGTTCAAGGTTCTCAGTGCCCCAAGAGAGATCAGGGGGGTTAGATTTGTGTCTGCAAAAATGCCTGCATAAAATCAGCATACAGGATTACTGGGATGCATTTTTACATGTGCAATTGTGTGCATACAATTCTAAAGGTCTGTACTTGGGTGTGTAATACCATCCACAACACACAGGCAGCATGAAACAAAGCTGCAGTGTTAGGTCTGTAAAAGCACAAAGTAGACAATACTACATGTGCCATCACAGAAGAGGAAGACAAATCCTCACCATGGATGTAGGGAGAGCGGGGCAGACACATGGTGTTGGTTCCAGGAGCGTAGCCCCTCAGGCCTTTCCAGTACTGCCAGTTCCTAGGATGAAATCTGGCTCTTTCTTCTTCTGGAGTTGGGGTAGGCCTCTCAGTAGTCACCCCTTCATCTTCCACCTGATGCCCATTCTTCCCTGGAGGGAGCAGGGGAGATCCTTCTTCAGACCTGGAGGATGGACTCAAGTCTCCTAATTCAGAATCTCCATTCCAGGGGCTGTCCAGGGCACACTCAGAACCATTTGGAATGGGTCCAAGGCTCAGATAGACAGCTCCAGAGATGAGGGGATTTCAGCTCCTGGGGAGTTCACTTTCTCGCTCAAGCTTCGCTAGGAGTGCCTTCTTCAGGTCCTGTCAGGTCCCTGTCATAGAGGGAAGGAAATGGAAATTATTAATGATCAAGCACATTAGTTAAATACAGTGTTGCCATAGTGATATTTTGGGCCCAGTCCTGCTCCCAGGTTAGCCATTGGTAAAACTCCCATTGAGCTACATGGCAGCAAAATCAGGGCCTTTATATGTTGCCATATAACTCACCTTTTCAAAAAGTTGTGAAATATTTCACAGTTTTATAAACTATTCTTTTCCCATTACCACCTCACTGCTTAATTGTCAATCCCAATATATTTCTCTGTAGATCATGAACTACTGGCAAACACTGAAGACAAATTATTGAGGGTAGTTATTAGGTTGCTATATGTCAGTGGTTCTCAACCAGGGGTACTTAGAGGTCTTCCAGGGGGTACATCAACTCATCTAGATATTTG